TTGACATAGCAGGATGCGGTGCGTGTGATGTGCGTGGAGAGAGGATGCGAGGATGGGAGGGTGCACATCCGGACTGTTGCTCGCTGGCAGAGTTTATCGATCAGACTGTTGAAAGGTAAGAGATCAGCATGGGCCTCCATAAGATCTGTGGGAGAGGAGCGCATTGCGCCAGTGATGAGTAGGAGGGCTTCTCGCTGAACCCGGGCGAGTTTTCGGACAGCCCCGACGGACCCTTGCCGCCGCTTCTGTCCAGGTAATGCGCGGACTGGGGTGATGAACGCATCCACCGCATAGAGCATGCTCGGAACAGCGACTGCCAGATAGAGACGTCGTATGAGTGCTGGCGTGAGTCCGTACTGTGAGCGTGCTAGGCGACGTAGAGCGGCTACCCAGGCCATTCCCTTGCCGACTGCGTAAGCTACGTGTTGGTGGTACCGGAGACGATAATCCATGAGAAAGCCAAGGAAGCGGTGGTGATTGGATGGTCGGATTAGTGTGCTGCCCAGTTGAAGGGATGGTCCGAGCGAGTCTTGGAGAGAACGTGCTGCATTGAGGAGACCAAACTTGTCGAGGGAAAAATGCGAGTTGTGCGTGCGCGACCATTCGTTGGCTCCCTGTGGACGTTCAAAGAAATCAGCGAGCGTGGCATGAGTCTCAGGAAAGGTGCGGCCTATCGCCATGAGTGCGACATCATCCATCGACCCTACTGCCAGTTCACCCTTTCTCCTGTCTGCGCTATCAATGAGTTCCGAGTTGTAGAAGCTGTATAAGATCACCGATAGTGGGCAGCCTTGATCTATGCCACTGATTATCTCTATGAAGTCCGATGCGTAGTCGTCAAATTTGAGGCGTGTTTGTCGTCCGCGCAACTTTTCTCGCAGCCATTCGATGAGGACATTGGGGACGCCACGTTGACGCATATCGTGAAATAGCTGCTCTGGCATAGCAGCCGGGAATGCTGATTTGATGTCAAGGAAGAGTATGGACACCACTTTACCACATCGCCATGCATCTTTGACTGTCTTCGTCACCAAATGAATGGAGTCTGTGGTCGTACGACCTGCACGTCCCCCAAACTGGTAGTTGGCGAGCATCAATTTGGACTCCGCTTCATAGGTGAGGATGTCAGCAACACAACGAGAGAGGATTTTGGACATGCAGTTCAGTAGAGCAATCGGTCGATATGACTTAGCGGTAGTGTAGTCTGTCTTGCCCGGTTTGCGAAGGACGACAGTGTCCGATGTCTTCCATGCTACTGGGTAGTACTTGAGGTCGAAGGTTGCGCGGAAGAGACTACCTAAGACGGGTGTTAGTGTAAGCTCACAGTGTGTGTATACCTCATTCGGGATGCCATCTGGTCCCGGCGCTTTAAAGGCCCGAAGTGAACGGATGGCGCGCCCGACCTGCTCGTCTGTAATCCCTGTAAATATGAATTTGGGCTCAGGATACGCATGGTCAGCATAAGACGGGGGTGTCGGGCAGGGTGGAAGAAAGAATGCTTTGCGGAACTCCTCGCATTTGTCGAGGTTGTCCGTAAGCACTCGACCCTGGTCCGCTGCTCTGAGAGGAGGAATCCGGGCGCTGCCACCATCCGAGGCACCCTTCTTGACAAACCGGTGCGCTGCCCAGATGGAGTTAGTGTCGACTGAGTCTAGCCAGGCAGCCCAGCAATCGCTCTTTGCCGCCTTGATGTGGTCTGCATAATGGTTACGGTGTATGCGGTATTCCTTATGGCTGGGATGTTGCGGGTCTCCTCGATGCCTGTGCGAGACTCGGCCTAGGCGTTGCTTAGCTTTCCACATGGCGGTGAGTTCTTTGGACCACCATCTCTTCGAGAATGGGGACAGCCTTGTGAGCGGCACTTCGGTGTCAATCGCCCTATTGATCGCCGCGGTCAGCGAGACGAGTACGAGATCAAATACTTCTGTAGAGGGTATCTCTGGTGGCAGCGCAGCTTCCTGCAGCTCTTGCCGTAGGACCTTGTCGAAGGCTTCCCAGTCGACCTCCCTGAAGTTGCGTCTTGGTTCCGGGGCCATCGCCGCGAGCGGTAAGTCGAGTTCCGTGACTATTGGGAAATGGTCGGTCTTGGTCGGACGGAGATGGGGTAGTGTCTTGCAGGATCTGAGGGACTCTATAAGATCAGTTGAGCAGGATACATT